CCATGTGTGTACCTATGCAACAATCTTGCATGTCCTTCACATGTACCCCAAAACCTAAAATACAATAAAAAAAAATAATTTTAAAAATAAAAGTAACCGCAAAATAAAAAAAATAAATAAATAAATTACCCAGTTTCAGGTATTTCTTTATAGCAGTGTGAAAACGGACTAACAGCATAACTAAAACCACAAAGTAAATCTGAGAAAACTGATTTAATGTAGTCTTAAAATGACTTTTTCTCTTTGTTCATAATTTACTTATTCATAGCTTCTACAAAAGTGCTTCACCTTTCATCCCTATTTTTCTTGATATTTTGGTCATGATCCTTTGAAAGAACATACCTGTGATGAGGGACTCATCTACCATAGAATGTCCTTCAATAACACGACCATCAACTGGAAATTTGCCTCCTGGAACCACTTTAATGATGTCTCCACGTTGTACAAGTTCCACATCCACTTGTTCTTCACTAGATATAAGTTAACATAAAAAGCATCATGATAATATGCTTCCTACCCTGACCTCTCCATGCAAGCTTTTTTTTTAGTTCACGTCAAGCTTGTAGCTCCATAATTACTAATAATGGAAGCTAGAACCAACATTTAAGGTAGGAACTACTATGTCAGTTTTGCTTACTGTTAATGAACAGCACAGTAGCTGGCACAAACTAGGCACTCTAAATATTTTTTTGGACAGTCATTAAATTAAAAAGTGAAATTTAAAAAAAATAATGTAATGGGTTTCATTTAACTAAAAATGTATTTAAATTTGTCTAAACAATTTTATGAGTATAAAAATGAGAAAAACAAAAGTGAAATCTAATCAAGTCTTTAGCTTTATCTTCCAACTGACAAGTAACACAGGAGCTACAGAACAAGTTAAATGAAACCACAAGGAAGCAAAGATACAAATTCAGATTGTGGGATATTCTACCGAACAACTGATGGCTATTTTTTCAACAAGTCAATTGTTCTTGGGGGAGGAGGGAAGGAAGGAGAGTGAGAAGAAAGAAGGGAGGAGCTGTTTTAGATTAAAAGAACATAAGCCATATGATAGTCAAATGTGATGATGCACAGATCTTGTTTGAATTCTATTTCGGGTAAAGAGACTTAAAACATTTTGGAGATAACAGGAGAAATGTGAATATGAAAATTGGGTCTTATGTGACATTAGGGAATTAATGTTCATTTTGTTAGGTACAATATGGTAGTATAGTTATATAAGAATATGTCCTTCTTTAGAGATAATACAGAATAGTTAGCAGTAAAACAATATGACTGAAATTTGGTTTAATACTACAAACAAGAAAGAAAGATAAAAATAGATAGATGAAGTATGGAAAAATGTAATTTTTGTGAGATGAAGATAGTGGCCCCAGCCCACTATCATGAACATAATCTATCTCTGGGAGATAGATTATGTGAATTCATGATAGTCCTTTTTCTACTTCTGTGTATATTTGAAATTTTTCTTAAGTTAAAAAAAAGAGGAAGAGGGAAGATAAATACCTCAGGAGGATATTATCAGAATCAAGAGTTACAATAGTTGCTTCTGTAGCTTGTAGTGAAATTAGTTTTGCAAGAGCCTCTGATGTTTTGCCCTATAAATTAAAACAAACACATTGAAAATGCTAAGGAAGAAAAAGTTCAGGTCTTAACGAAAATAAAAATACAATCTTTAGCATTTACCCAAAAGACAGCTTTAGGAATATTAATTTGTTCAAACTAGAAAATGTTTCACTTCAAAAAGATAAAGTACACAAAATACTTTATTTTATTTTTTGAGACAGAATCTCACTCTGTTACCCAGGCTTAAGTGCTGTGGCACGATCTTGGCTCACTGCAACCTCCACCTCCTGGGTTCCAGCAATTCTCCTGCCTCAGCCTCCTGAGTAGCTGGAATTACAGGCACGTGCCACCACACCCAGCTAATTTTTGTATTTTTAGTAGAGACAGGGTTTTGCCATGTTGGCCAGGCTGGTCTTGAACTCCTGACCTTGTGATCCGCTCACCTCGGCCTCCCAAAGTGCTGGGGTTACAGGTGTGAGCCACTGTACCCGGCCTAAAAGTGCACAAAATATTTTTTAAAGTATTATTAGGAGGGCCAGGTACAGTGGCTGACGTCTGTAATCCCAGCACTTTGGGAGGCCAAGGCAGGCAGATCACCTGAGGCCAGGAATTTGAGACCAGCCTGGCCAACATCCCCATCTCTACTAAAAATACAAAAAAAAAATTAGCTGGGCATGGTGGTGTGTGCCTGTAGTCCAGCACTTTGGGAGGCCAAGGCAGGAGGATTGCTTGAGGCCAGCAGTTCAAGGCCAGCCTGGGCAACATGGTGAAACCCCATCTCGACAAAAAAAAAAAAATTAGCCAGGCATGGTGGAATATGCCTGTAGTCCCAGCTACTCGGGAGGCTGAGGCAGAGGTTGCAGTGAGCCGAGACTGTGCCACTGAACCCTAGCCTGGTGACACAGTGAGACTGTCTCAAAAAAAAGGTATTATTAGGTATAATTTATGAAGAAATTATATAAATTAATAAGAAAAACATGACGAACCCAATAAACACACAGGCAAAGGGCATGTATAGCCAAATCATTCAAAAGGAAATATAAATATATGATGATGAAAAAATGTTTATCCCCACCATTAATGGAAGAAATATAAACTAAAATAACCCTGTAATACCATTTAATGTCTATTAACTTAGCAAGAATTTGGAGGGGATGTGATGCTGGTGAAGTTGTAGTAAAAATACTTCACTGACATACCCTTGCTGGCAAAAACTGTTACAACTTGTAGCAAGCACCAGAGAAATATTTATGCCCTTTAACCCACTAACCACATCCTTTGTAATGTCTTCTAAGACATTAGCTCAATGGAAATGACAAACTATTGGACATGAATATGTCTGATGCAGGATTATCTAAAAATAAAAAATTAGAAACAATTAATGGTAAACAAAACCTGAACGGTTTAGTAAATTAGAGCAAACTGACTTGACAGACTTAGTCAGAAAATATTAGATAATTATCTAGACTATAAAAATGGTGAAAAACTTGATAATGTTAAGCATACAAAGTAGTATGCATACTATATTTGCAACTCTGTTAAATAGAAAGGTACGTCAAATGGAATTAGAAAATGATTTACATTATAGCAAGGGAATATGGGTGAATTTTTTTCTAACATTATTTTAAACCATGTGGTCATGTCAATTTTTCAATTAATGATGTGATATAAGTAAGTGAAAAGTACTTCTCATTTGTCTCTCTCTCTTAAAATAAACAGACATATTATACTATCTACAGTATTAATTCCATATTTGGTAAACCTTCTAAATGGATATTTAACTTAAAATATTGCCAAAATTAAAATACTTCTTTCAGTAAATGGTTAACTACACAACAACATGTATTTCCAATGACTGGCCTAAAAAATATTACGGTCATTTATCCACCCAATATTTTAACAAATGTCATCCTTTCTTACTTTACCTTTGCTATATGTTCCAGCCATCGGCCTAGTGCAATAAACACAAATAGCATAGGAGGTGTGTCAAAGAAAGTAATAGGGTTCACTTTGGCTCTCTCATACATTGCAACTAGAAGAATAACCAAAGAGTAAGCAAATGCAATGGTGGTTGCCAGCACAATCAGTACGTCCATATTTGCTGTCTTGTGCTTCAGTGCTTTATAAGCCTGAATGTAGAAGTACCAGCCTCCGAAAAACTGCAATATAGAAATGATAATCATTGAATTTTTTAAAATGCTGAAATTCAGATATATATCTCAATAACTTAAAGTATCAATATTCTCTTTCTTTGGCTTTTAGTTAATCCATAAACACTAAAGGAACATTAAACCAAAACAATAGTGTTTGTATTTCAATAGATGTACATGTAGAAGGAGGTATTCAAATAGCTGCACAAGCCTTTGGGGGCTATCATCTATGATCCAATGGATATTCCATAAGACAAAGAAAATCAGATATTTCTTCTTTTTTTTTTTAAGAGACAGTCTTGCTATGTTGCCCAGGCTTGTCTCAAACTCCTGGCCTCAAGCAATCCTCCTGCCTCGGCCTCCCAAGTAATTGAGATTACAGGGACGAGCCATCAGACCCAGCAGATTTTTCTTTTTGAGGCTAGCAAAAACAAGAACTAGGGAAGGAATCACATTTTCTTCAAGGATTTTTTGTATAAAACTCAACCATCTTTCCAAAAGTCAAACTAAGTGGTGTATCACAAGCTATCAAATCCGTTGGCTGTCTGTATTGGTAAATATAACTGGAAAGCTTATTTCATTAAAACAGAGAAACTAAGATTTTTAAAAAATCATTATTGCCTTTTATAAAGATTAGATAAAATTTATTTGATAAAAGCGTTCTATTCCACAGTAAAAGTTTATCTTGAAAAAAGAGCTTAAAACATACAGAAAGTAATGAACTAAAGTGCCAGGAAGAAATAACAAGAATAAAGTCATTGAGCCGGGTGCAATGGCTAGCACCTGGAAGTCCCAGCTACACAGAAGGCTGAAGCAGAAGAACTGCTTGAGCCCAGGAGTTCAAGACTGCAGTGAGCTGTGCATATACCACTGTATTCCGGCCTGAGTGACAGAGCTAAACCCCATCTCTAAAANAAAAAAAAAAAAAAAAAAAGATAAATAAAAATTTAAAAATAAAAGAAAGTTATATATAGTAGCAGATATAAATACCAAATCCAGAAAACTTAAACTCTTTCTTAAGGGTTAAATGGCATCTATTATATACTTAAATAACTACTTAGTTGAAGATTATTTTTGTAAAGCATATGGCATAAAATAATCAAACTTCTGGCTAACATCTATTTTGCAGTTGAAAACAAACCTTGCCTGCCAAATTTTGCTTATTTTTCATTATTAACAAATATATTTGCTAACAATTCACTTGCCTGTACAGGTACACACAATAAAAAGGACAGCAAATTCATAATGGACAATCCTGGCAGAATCTGGCGCTCCAGGAACATAGAAGAATGAAAGTTGATCATTTCTTCTTTACTCATGTTTTGATTATGGTGAAGAGTTGCAAAGTGGTGGTCCATAACCATCATATATATCATCAGCCCCATTACAGGAATACAAAAAAACAGACTCACAAGAAAAGACCGTCTCCATCTTATATGGAAAAAATAAGAAAAGAAAAATCATGTTCATCAATAGCTAATGGATAAACATTCTATATACTATAGAGAAATACACATTATGACCATTTCATCCAGTATAAGGATGATTTTATAAAAACTGACATGCAAAAAGGATGTTACATTTGTAACAAGGAGTCAAAATCTGTTTTTTAATGACACTCCAAAAGTACTTACTGTCTTATTTCTCGTTTATGATCTAGGTGACTTGCTGACCGATCCTTCTTGACCAAAGAAGCTTCAAAGCCTAAGCTCTAAGGAAATTCATGAGAAAAAAGTTATTTCACTGAATATATAAATATTATGTAGAGAAATTCTAAGCCATGGTATTGTCATTAAGGACAGTTCAATTACTGAGGGCAAGTCACTCTGGAGAATACAAAGATGAAGATGTGCTTCCTGCTCTTGATTATCTTTGTTTCTAATCTTTCATCAAAGAAATGAATATTTCCCTAATTCTAGTTAATATCTAACCTATATGTAACAGTTTAACTCAAGTACAACTGTCTTCAGTAGATGTTCTCATTAATAGGCCATAAAAGCTTGCACCAGGCCAGGCACAGTAGCTCATGCCTGTAATCCCAGCACTTTGGGAGGCTGAGGTGGGTGAATCACAAGGTTAGGAGTTCGAGACCAGCCAACATGGTGAAACCCCATCTCTACTAAAAATACACAAAATTAGCTGGGCATAGTGGCAGGCGCCTGTAATCCTAGCTACTCAGGAGGCTGAGGCAAGATAATTGCTTGAACCCAGGGGTGGAGGTTGCAGTGAGCCGAGATTGCGCCACTGCACTCCAGCCCAGGCAACAGAGTGAGACTTCATCTCAAAAAAAAAAGAAAAAAAGCACCATACTAAATATATTATTCAAGGCCTTACATATGTAGTATTTACTTTTGTTTTCTCAGAAAAAGAACATGAACAAAAATCCTTTACCCCAATAAAACAAAGTATAAAAAAATAAACTACCCCTAAGCAAGACTTATCTGACCATAGATAGTACTACACATTATACTTCCAACTGCTAGGGGAAATATTGCCATTTTACATTTGTTAGCAGTGCAGCACAGTGAATAGAGCAAGCATGAGCTTCAGAGTCAGAGTACTTAGGCTCAAATCCCAGTTATGACAGTTACTAGCTATGCGACTTTGGATAAGTAACTTCTCTTAACCTGAGTTTCCTCACCTCCAAAATGAATATAACCACACTGCTGTGGGAATTAAGGGTTGAAGCTTTGCAATCTTGATAACTGGCACATAGTAGGTACTCAGTAACACTAGTTTCACAAAAATGGTAATGGTAATGTCATCTATACTAATAGGATCTTAACTGAACTATTAAAATGCTTTAAATCACTTGAATGCCAAGTCTATAACATACTGAAACTTTCAAAATACATTCATATGTATTACCACTTAAGATTTATTGAAGAACACAGGATGAATCTGTCACAAAGAAAGGGTTGTGTGTGTTTGTTTTAGAGACAGGGTCTCTCTCATGGTAACCTTGAACTCCTGGGCTTAAGCAATCCTCCCACTTCTGCCTCTCAAGTGGCTAATAGTATGGGTGCATGTCACCAGACCTGGCCAATTATTTTAATTTTTGTTGCAGAGATAGGGTCTTGCTCTGTTGGCCAGGATAGTCTTGAACTCCTGGCCTCAAGTGATTCTGCCGCCTAGACCTCCCAAAATGCTGAGATTATAGACATGAGCCACTATGTACAGCTGGGCTTGGTCTTTTAAATTTCTTACTTTAACTTAAAAATAGGTCTTTCCTTTTGACCTAACAAACAAAAGACCATCAAGCAGATGTTTCACTTTCTTAGTAACTATGTGAATCTCATTTATAACAAATTAAACTTTATATCCATTTTCTAAATATTTTAAGTGTTTTGTGGTTCTAACTTAAGTTTGTTCCTCATTAATAGTGTAAATGTACTTTTGCCTAACTTTTCCTGAAAAAGACCAAAAAAAAAAAAAAACACAGACACATTTACAGTAAATTTTGAGACAGATCTTGTTTGAAGTATTCAAAGGAGTTTGATTTTTTTTTCATTGCCTCTATCTGATGCAAACCAGAAATTATTCACCGGAGTGCTGATTAAATAGGTAAGAACACAGAAACATAAATTCTTGGCACTTACTTCAATTGTATGGATAATATCTCTGGGACCAATAATTTCAGGGTCATATTTAATATGTGCTTTGTTGGTTGCCAGGGCCACAGAGCAGTATAAGATCCCTCTGTGTTTAGTGAGAGTAGACTCTATTTTATGTACGCAGGAGGCACACGTCATTCCTCTCACCTGTTAAAGACAAAGAATTTGTTATTCAGGAATATACTTTTTCCACCATTAAACATGAGTTATCACTTTTTTTTTGAGACAGAGTATTGCTCTGTCACCCAGGCTGCAATGCAGTGGTGTGATCTTGGCTCGCTGCAACACCTGCCTCCCAGGTTCAAGTGATTCTCCTGCTTCAGCCTCTCAAGTAGCTGGGATTATAGGCATGTTTCACCACACCTGGCTAATTTTTTGTCTTTTATGTAGAGACTGGGTTTCACCATGTTGGCCAGGCTGGTCTCAAACTCCTGACCTCAAGTGATCCACCCACCTCGGTCTCCCACAATGTTGGGATTATAAGCGTGAGCCACTCTGCATCCGGCCTGAGTTACCACTTTTAACTAAAAAGACTCATGGGATTGCCACACAAGACTTAATTGCATTGCTAGTATGCTTTATATATGATCATTAGAATGCCATTTTTATATCACATTGAACAAACATATAGTCCCAGATAGAAGAGGATCTCATTAAAAGTTTCCCAGCCGGGCGCGGTGGCTCACACCTGTAATCCCAGCACTTTGGGAGGCCGAGGCGGGTGGATCACGAGGTCAAGAGATCGAGATTATCCTGGTCAACATGGTGAAACCCCGTCTCTACTAAAAATACAAAAAATCAGCTGGGCATGGTGGCGCATGCCTGTAATCCCAGCTACTCAGGAGGCTGAGGCAGGAGAATTGCCTGAACCCAGGAGGCAGAGGTTGCGGTGAGCCGAGATCGCGCCATTGCATTCCAGCCTGGGTAACAAGAGCGAAACTCCGACTCAAAAAAAAAAAAAAAAAGTTTCCCAAGGCCAGGCACGGTGGTTCATGCCTGTAATTCCAGCACTTTGTGAGGCCAAGGCAGGCAGATCACCTGAGGTCAGGGGTTCGAGACCAGCCTGACCAACATGGAGAAACTCCATCTCTACTAAAAATACAAAATTAACCAGGCATGGTGGCACATGCCTGTAATCCCAGCTACTCAGGAAGCTGAGGCAGGAGAATCTTTTGAACCCAAGAGGAGGAGGTTACAGTGAGCCGAGATCGCACCACTGCACTCCAGTCTAGGCGACAGAGCAAAACTCCATCTAAAAAAAAATAAAATAAAATAAGCCTACTCATTCTTTTTAACAGCTACTCAGCATCCCATGATACAGATATATCAAACTTTATTTAGTCCCTAATGACTGAAATTTCGTTTTTCCCCATCTTTTGCTATTGTAAATAATACTATAATAAACATCTCTGCATACATGTCATTTCATACATATGCAAACATGTTTGTTGGATAAATTCCTACAAGTAGAACTCCTGGGGCAAAGACTATGAGCTATTTCAACTTTCACAGATATTGCCAAATTCTTGTTGGCAGCCTGTATTAACGTACACTCCACCAGGAACATAAGAGAGATCGGAAACATCGTGTTAACAAAATTGTTAATTTTACCAATCCAATAGGTGAAAATGGTATTTCAGTGCCATTTTAATTTGCTTCACTCATTACAAATGAAGTTGAACATCTCTTCATGTTTAAGAGGTATTGTTTTTGCTTTTCTGTGAACTGACAGTTCATATCCTTTATCATTGAAAAGAAATTTGGGGTTGCTGACTCTTGTCTTATTGATGCATAAAAGTTCTTTATATATTAAGAAAATTAACCTTCATCTATGATATGAATTACAATTATTTTAATTGCCTTTTGACTTTCTATTTGGTGTTTTTCTCCCAAGAAGAAATGGTTAGGTGTCTGAATTCATCAATCTATTAATCTTTTCTTTTATTGGTTTTGTATCACATTTTAGAAAAATGCTTCCTACTCCAATATTGTTTTTTAAATGATGAATTAGGTGTTATCATTGGCAAAAGCTAGATGAAGGCTACATGAAAATTTTCTGTACCATTTTTGCACTTTCTTGTGAGTCTAAAATTATTTCAGTGATGAATTGATGGATTGATGTATGATGAAGCAAATATAGCAAAATATTAATCGTAGAATCTAGCTGGTATATAGAGGGTATCTAATGTACAATTTTTCTGAATTTTCTGTATGTCTGAAAGTTTCATAATATTGAAAAAATTGGTACAAATATTTATTGTAGTAATTTCACGGTTTCATTATTTACATTCAATTTAGGTGGAAGCGGGGACAAGGCATTGCTCTGTCACCCAGGCTGGAGTGCAATGGCATGAACACAGTTCACTGCAACCTCAACCTCCCAGGCTCAAGTGATTCTCCCACCGCAGCCTCCCGAGTAGCTGGGACTACAGGTGCATGCCACCACATCTGGCTAAATTTTTACTTTTTAAATTTTTCATTCTTATTTTTATTTTTTGAGATGGAGTCTCACTCTGTTACCCAGCCTGGAGTGCAGTGGCATGATCTTGGCTCATTGCAACCTCTGCCTCCCATATTCAAATGATTCTCATGCCTCAGCCTCCCAAGTAGCTGGGATTACAGGCACATACCACCACGCCCAGCTAATTTTTGTATTTTTAGTAGAAACAGGGTTTCACTATGTTTTGGCCAGGCTGATCTTGAACTCCTGACCTCAGGTGATCCATCCACCTCAGCTTCCCAAAGTGCTGGGATTACAGGCGTAAGCCACTGTGAGCCAGCCTAAATTTTTACTTTTTGTAGAGGCGAGGTTCCACTTGCTGCCCAGACTGGTCTTGACCTCCTGTGCTCAAGTGATCCTCCCACCTCGGCCTCCCAAAATGCTGAGATTATAAGCATGATCCACCACACCCAGCCTACATTCAAATTTTTGCTTAAACTGGGATTTATTTTGGTACAAGATTAATTTTTTGTTTTACTTTTCTAAATTATACAAATAAAACTTAAATACATTCTAGCTGTAAAAATTTCAAACAATTTGAAAAGACGGAAGTTTCTCTTTGCTCTTCTCTCTCAATCCCACTCTCTTTCTGAGATAACACTGTTAATCATGTGTATACACTAGTCCTTTCTCTAGGTGTTTATATACATATATATTATATAAGTACACACACATGTAGTTTTGGATTATACCATAAGTATTACACTACAACTTGTTTTGCTTAAGTAAATAATATGTCCTTGAAATCTTTGTCAGTTACTATTGATCTATTTTACTCTTTTTAACAGCCGTATTGTATTCTATAATGCCTATACATAATTTATCTAAACATTCCCTATCAAAGGACATTTAATATAGATTGGCTCTAAATTTTTGCCCTTAAAATTATATAATAAATATAATCTCATGTATGCTCATATTTCTTTTTTTAATTATACTTTAAGTTCTTAGGTACATGTGCAGAACGTCCAGGTTTGTTACATAAGTATACACGTGCCATGGTGGTTTGCTGCATCCATCCCCCCGTCATCTACATTAGGTATTTCTCCTAATGTTAGCCCTCTCCAATTCCCCCACCACCCCCGACAAGCCCTGGTGTGCATATTTCTTTTTTGTTGTTTGTTTTTTCCACATGAAGTCTCATTCTGTCACCCAGTCTGGAGTGCAGTAGTGTGATCTCGGCTCACTGCAACCTCCGTCTCCAGGGTTTAAGTGATTCTCGTGCTTCCGCCTCCTGAGTAGCTAGGACTACATGAGCACACCATCATGCCTGGCTAATTTTTGTATTTTTCATAGAGATGGGGTTTCACCATGTTGGCCAGGCTAGTCTCAAACTCCTGGCCTCAAGTGAGTCCACCCGACTCAGCTTCCCAAAGTGCTGGGATTACAGGTGTGAGCCACCATGCCCAGTCCTATATGATATTTCCATAGGAAAGAATCCTAGCAGCTGATTTGCTGGGTTGAAGAAAGTGATCACTTTAAAGCAATATGCCTTACACCTGGTTTTGTGACTTTATAAAATTTGAGTCATTAATGCATCTGGAATTTATTTAATTACATGCTACCAAATAGGAATCATACTACATTTTAAAAGTTAATTTTTATTTGTTCATTCAAACTCAATTATTTTTTGGTTAATAGAGATATGACAATCATCTTTTTACATTCCAGGCTTGAAGACTACTATTAAATCATACCTTATCCTTCCATTTTCCAGTTTCCTTGAAAATGGAAATTGGAAATTTCAAGGAATTTTCATTTCATCATATCTTATTTTTCCCACCTTTAATTATCTTCACAACTCTTCTCTGAACCCTTACCAAGTTTTTTTCTAGAAATTTTATTAATCACACAAAAACTCTTACTTACAACAAGTTCTAGAACACCATCTCCTTCATCAGCATTTTCTATCACAGTGGCTCCAAATCCAAGCTCTCGGATGAACTCTGCTATCGTTGGCGGTTGTATAACAGTAGGATTATACCTTACTTCTGCCTTGCCAGCCATCAGAGCCACAAGTATGGAATATATTCCTAAAAGCATTGATAAGAAATATAATACAGATAACATTCTTTATAAAAAGAGTAATATTATAATTACCTTTTAGCATTTCTCAAGTATGAAAGGATTAAAGTGGATCTGGAGAAATTTATTATTTAACTTTTATACCAGTCTTGACCCCAAATAATTACAACTATTGTAAAAGAGTCTCATTTTTCTTAAACTTCTTATAATGGAAATTTTCAATTATATATGTATGTGTATGTGTGTATAAGAAGATAATAAACTTTATGTACCTATCACCTTGCTTCATAATACTAGGCTAATCTTATTTCATATACATTCCTACATCCTCCACTCACTGCCCTCTACCCAGATTACACTGAAGCAAGTCCCAGATATCACATCATTTCATGTGTAAATACTTAAATATGTATCTTCTAAAAAATAAAGACTCTTGCACTTGTTTGAGACTGTATCTT